TTGTGGCCACATTTCTCCCCATCTTTTTCCACAACACATTCCGTTTTCTTTTCCACTTCTATGTAATTAAAGTTTTTCCAAATGTCGTTTCTTCTTTTTCTCCCAATGACAAACCCCGGCTGGCCGGCCATCGATCTCTTTCTCTGTGTCAGACTTAACTTTGTTTGTTGTCGTCTTCTCAATAATGCCACGAGTGGGGGTTAAGGAAGTGACGTCACCTGCGTTTGCGCAGTGCGACCTGATGCGGCCCCTGAAGTGAGACACAGGAAACAAATACTGCAAATAACAACACGACTAAACGAGACGAAATAACGTTATAACATTTCGTCTCGTTTTTTATCCTCAACAATATTGCATTATACATTTAATTATAGTCATCGTCACATGACCAGCATTTTTGTTGCGTCTCGTCTCGTTTTCGTAACGCGATAAAGGTTCGTTGACGACGATATTTAGTCATGATTGTTGACGAAAGCAACACTAGTGACCAGTTGTGACCATTTTCTCAATGAATAGGGTGTTTTGCCATAAATGAATATAAGAACCCAATATTTCAGATCAAACCTTTTGGCTGTATGCACTTCTGAATCTAGGTCTTCCAAAGATATTCATAACGGGGACTGCCACAACGTTGTATGGAGGGACATTTTTGCTGTTCGACAGTCTTGTCTACTGCTGCGTTGATTGGATTTTTGTGCCATGTATTACAACATCAGTGTAGTGCATTTCTGAAAATGGTTTTTTATAAGCCGTTTTATAGCACAGATGTAGTGCAAAGGAGAAGAGTTACTGACAACACGTTATTCATTTCTTTATATAAAAGTCTAAATGCCTCAAGTGAAATTGTCAGCACAAGGTTCTGATACTTTAAGTAATTTGCCTTGGCTTGTGCAAACTCTTTCTCTCTCTTACCACACTGATGAGCTGTATTAGCTGCAGTCCCACCGTGACATATACAACGTCACGGTAGTTGTTAACAGGCCGAACCACCTTGTTGTAACCAGTAAACAGCATTTTCACCAGACGGGTCTCGTCTTCTGTGCAGAATACTGGACCTGTAGGACATGCAGGCATAAAACAAAATCTTCAGTTAGACTTTTTTCCCCCAAATGTGGGTGAGTAGGGGAAATTTAAGGTAATCTTCAAACTTGGAATTAATGAGGGTAATGTATGTTTCATGTGGAAGGCAAGCGGTAGTTCATGTGCTTATTACAAATTTTAGTTGAAGCTCAGTTTGGCTGAGGTACATGGTGAGTATGACACATTGCCATACCCAGCTGACACCTGTGGCCCCACACCGGAACTGAAATCACAGCTGTAGTGAGAGGGACGCCAGCAGTTTGCATTTAACTGTGATTCATTCACCAAACTTTTCCTTGGCAAACATCAAGCAACCTGAAACCCTTACCCAGGAAGAGAGGGATTATCTGACTAGAGCAAGGTAGGGACAGGCAGATGCAGTTGAATGACTGGCATTTCATACTGGTGAAAAGACTGCGCTGTGTGCCCCGTGAGTTGTCTAATCATTATCAAGTCTTTAAGACAAACCTAATCTGAGTGCTGAGAGGGAGTTTGGAAAACCAGCCCTGGCCAATCCACTTGACAGTAAGTCTGGATCAGTTAGTTCAAAACACCACTGCATTTAACATCTCTTCATGCAAATGGTGTTTCCAGCCAACAGACCATTTGTTTAAAGCATGCTTTATTATCCCTTGTGCTAATGTGACATGCAAAATAAACATGTACTGTGGCCTAGTCTAGCCTAGACCTGCTTCACTTGTTGGTTTCTCATCAGCAAGTGCTCAGCAGTACAGAAAAGAACATTCATTAATTAAATTAGGTTGATTATGAGTAAGCAACTATCTGACTTTGCAGGCTGTGAAGGGTTACTAGTGTATTGACACTGACCCACAAGTGTTCATGTGTCATTTCAGGTAATGGGACTTGAGCATGAACATGATTTGTTTAGGTTAATTTGAAAAGTAAAGAACTTTTGGTAGTTTTACAGTGTTCAATGTGTGGCAGAAATAGCAGCCTTCATTGCTGCTCAGTTTAACTAATTGCAAAAAAAAAAAAAAAATCTATACCGTGCTGCATGTTGACCTTTTGTCTGTGGAAAAATCCCTGCAGGTTATTGTCTGAACATCTCTGTATCACAGCATCTACAGTATGTACTGGTAGACTAGATATTGGCAGTATAAACCTCAAGCTGCTTTACTAACAATAAGCTGAGTAGTGTACCTTGTGGAACCAGTAACGTTTTGGTTTTACCTGAGCTTTAATATGTTGTTGTAGGAGTGTGGACCTACAGAGCCTGATCAATATTGAAATTGTGAACCCAATACTTAACAATATTCATATTTAATAATTAAAACCTATAGCTAAATATATTATTTGGTCAGTACTCGCTAAACACTTGGGACTGGTTGTAAGGGTGTTATAGCCTATAATTTAAATTTAGCTCTAAGCAGGTGTATTCATCATAGAATGTATATTAGCTGTAATTAAAATAGGTTTGTAGCACATAGCTTGTTATATTATAAACTATACTGTTAAAAGTACCTGGGTTGCTCAAGTGGACACATCTGTATCATGGAGGTGACGGCGGAGGAGGTGTCAGTCCCGGGAGAGCAACAATATAAATTAAATTGATTGAAACGGAGTTGATGCATTTCCTGATTTTTACAAAATTTGACATCACCCCTTCTCTAAAATACTTGGGTCCTTGAACCTGTTGTAAAGTGAAAACATTGAGAGAGACCATGAATTATGTTCACCTAAAACAATGGCCTTATCTTTTGTGAGATCACCCCCGCTGTCTTCACAGTGGCCAGTAGGTTTGTCACCACTCTTACTTGACTTGGTTGTAATTTTCTCCCCCTGGCATGTGGAGGCGCTGTTATTGTCATAGTTTAACTTTGTACTACAAGTGGACTATTGCATCACCTTTATACATGTAATCATAAGCACATCATACAATGTAAAGTGACCTGACAGATGAGCACAGCAGCCAGGTCGTGACTCACGATACAACCCTTGCGTGTTATTTCTGGCACCTGCTGGCAATCTGCACTCGGTCTGAGCCAAGAAGGCTAGGATCTTGTTTCATTTAGACAACAAGAAACATACAAGCAAGCAGTTTGTTGGCTTTTAGTTTCCTTCAGACTTTGGGTTCTCTCAAAAATATAAATGAGGAATCTGGTGAGGCTGTGTACAGTGCGCATGTTCATTTCTCTGGCCATCTGCCATTGTCTCTCTGTAGCTGGTTGCCTTCTCCCTGTTTGTTGTCCTGCACTTGCAGGCTTTGATCTGACCGCAAGCACAAAAATAGAAGGCAGGCAGGATAGAGGAGCCACTTGGACCTGTCAGTTATTGCCTACTGTCCACTGCTATTTCTGCATGATGCTCATTTGCCACAAACAAAAAGAATGGGAACACTTTAGTTAGCTTATTTTGGCCACTGCATTGTGTCAGGGATGATGGCCACATCTCTTGCTGCACTGTTTTCTTGTCTATTATAGTTCTTAAATACGTTTTTCTGTACTGGATGGTAGTTAAACATCAGTGCAAAATAGCAGTTCATGTATAACTAGAGAATTGCATTTTCTGAAGAAAATGCATATGGATGCAGAGTGCTGAAAGATTGCCCTGAAAATGCTGAACATTTAAATGAATGGTTT